AATTTTATTTAAAGAAATGGCGTGTCGTCTATTTCCGCTGTAGCAAACGTAGTACATAGGGCGACATCTAGATGTCATCTACCTCGCCCTATTCACTACAGATGTCGCCCTATGCACTATGCGGAACTTTTCAAAGCAAAGGTTTTATGGTGTCGGACACACAACATTGAAAGTTTCTGGATCCACAACATTGAAAGTTTCTGGACACACAACATTGCAAGTTGATAAAAGCGTTGTAAAAATCAAGGCGAATTCTTTGAAATTTTTGTGTCGTACAAGGTTTAAAACTTAGAGTTACATGATTTTCGTTGTGTTTTAAACCATATTTTTGTAATAAAATTTATAAAAAAATTAAAAAAACAACAAATGGTCCACACTTTTAAAGAAGTTGTGTATTTACAGCGAAATTTAAGATACAGTTGTTTATATATACATGAGGAAAACCTGGGTTATTCGATAACCAAGCTCCGGATTATTCGTTATTCGAAAAACCCGCCTAAAAACTTTAGATAAAACGGTTTGGAAAAACGAACTAAATCACCGTAATACTTACAAATAAAATACGCATTTCTAGATTCATACCACAATTGAAAGCAACTTTTTGACGCCCACCTGTGATATGTAAACTACAACGGATTCCTCTAAATGAAAAACAATGAAATATTTAAGTATGCATGTACGTTAAAAATATTCATGGATTATAAATTTCAAAAAATAGACCAAACTAGTAAGCCCAATTGAAATCGAAATTGTTAAACGCACTCAACTGCAGCCTGATTGCAGTGGCTTGGAAAATGTATTTTCATAATTTCCTCCATCCGCCACGTTTCGCAAAATGCTTTCTCTTGCTTTTCCTCATCGCTCCAACAAGCGTACATATACATACATACTTACAAGAAGTATGGCCGAATTTTAATGACGATTTTGGTTTTCATTTCTTGTTATCTCTTGCTTTGGTTCAGGCAAAAAAGAGAAATTGCAGACGAATTAAAATGGGAAAACGATTTAATAAATACTTTTAATGCGCTTATTCGCATCCGTTTAAAAGAATTATTAATTCGCATTCCACTTTTGCTTTTACCGCTTGTGTGTCCATAGAAGAATAAATGAATTGCCAGTGAAGCTTGGAATGAGAAACGATAAACAATTTTATTGTGCCTGAGTTTTCGCTTTTTTGTTACAATGGTATAATATAAAAATTGTATCTGTGCCCACACGCACTAACAGCTGAAGTCTACATACATAATAGATTTCTATAAAATACACCTTTTTATACCCGAGCGCATTGTGCACAAGGGTATATTAATTTTGTTCACATAACGGTTGTTTGTAACAGCCAAAACGATCGAGATAGATAGATAGACAAATGTATACATATATGCTCAGAATGAATAGAGAAATCGATTAAGCCATGTCTGTCTGTCCGTCCGTCTGTCCGTCCGTCCGTGTACACGATAACTCGAGCAAAAATTTAGATATCTCAACGAAATTTGGTATGTAGGTTTCTGTTAATCCAAGGTAGGTTGTCATTGAAAATGGCCGAAATCGGACTGTAACCACGCCCACTTCCCATATAACGGTAATTTCCAGAAATACGAAAACTGCGATATTTTAGTAACTACTGAAGATAATTCACTCAAAATTGATATTTACAATAATTTTCAGACGAAAAATAAGAATATTATAAATTTTTGCAAAATGAGCGTAGCCACGCCCACTTATGGTTATATGTGTATAACTTGGTAACCGCTGCACCAATTTCTTCCAAACTTGGCAAAGTAGTTGACCTTCGCACAACATACCAAATAGCTGAAAATTTTAAAAATCGGACAATAACCACGCCCACATCCCATATAACGGTAATTTTCGGAAATACGAAAACTGCGATATTTTAGTAACTACTGAAGATTATGCACTCAAAATTGATATTTGCAACAATTTTTAGACGAAAAATAAGAATATTATAAATTTTTGGAAAATGGGCGTAGCCACGCCCACTTATGGTTACATGTGTATAACTTGGTAACCGCTGCACGAATTTCTTCCAAACTTGGCACAGTTGGTGACCTTCGCACAACATACCAAATGGCTGAAAATTTTTAAAATCGGACAATAACCACGCCCACATCCCATATAACGCTAATTTAGAGAAATACAAAATCTTCGATAAATCAGTAAATATTAAAGCTAATTTATTCAAAATTGATGCTTGCAACAATTCTTAACCAAGAAATACGTTTGTGATAAAATTTTGGAAAATGGGCGTGGCACCGCCCACTTAATAATAGATTGGCGCTTACACATATGTTAGTGTTTGACCGAGCTTCTCCTCTGATTTGCAGCGTGCGCCTTGATGTTGTCACACAAAGCGGAGGGACCTACAGTTTTACGCCGACTCCGAACGGCGATTGTATTTTTATGAGAAGCTGTTTTTCA